CCCCACCCCCCCGAATCCTGGTGTTACAATAATTAACAGTGCCCAGAGAAGTGAAGTAGTAACCAGAAAGACTTTTCCAGCGCTGAAGAATTGCTTTGCTGCCTTGAGCTTTGGAATGAATCCATGCTTTTTATGTAATATTTCACTAAGGTGCTTTTCGTTGCTGGTGGGATTTTTTTCTTTTCCTTTCCCTTTCCTTTTTTTTTTTTTTTCTTTTCTTTTTTCCTTTTTTCTTTCTCTTTTTTTTTTTTTTTTTAAAGCCTCTTTCCTTCCAGGCAGTTGCCATGGGTTTCCCTGTCTTGTCCTAAGCTTTTGAAAATATATATCCAGAAGACTTTAAAGAAAATAAAAGTAGATAAAAAAACGTAAAACACTTACCCATCCTACTTCCAGGATTTAGAGACTTTTTTTTTAATTTTTGATTTTAATAAGGTGACAGGGGGGGGAAAGCATATTCTCAACTCCAGCGAAACGATCCATGTTAAGATTTTCCTTTGCACTGACTCCACTAAGCCCCGCTCTCCACTAGTCTATTATTTTCACCAAAATATATGAAAATTTATGCAAATGAAAATCAGCACTAACTGTTCTCCCCTTGTTATACTTTGGATTTTTTTCCAGACAAAACAATCACACTCTGCAAGGGAGGGGGTGGGAAGAGTTGGGGAACTAAGTTGGTTGTTGGTTGTTTTGATTTTTTTTGTTGTTGTTGTTCTTGGGGGTTCTTTTGTTAATAAAAAGCCATTACTACAGCTCGAGCTTTAATTTTTGTTGTTGCTGTTATGAGGGTGTGCAATTTTTTTTAACATTTTTTTTTTTTGGGGGGGGGGTGTGATTTCTCCCCCGCCCTTTCCTTTTTTATTAAGAAAGTAGATCTGTTTGCAGAGGCGCTATCACGTTTCATCAGGCCACCTGAGACGGCTTTTGAAAGCGTGTACTGTGAAATTCATAGCAGTAATTTAGACAAAATCCTCACTGTATATTAATGAAAGACGGCCCCATGGCACCGTTCCTATCCTCCCCATTGGGGTGTGATTTCTCCCCCGCCCTTTCCTTTTTTATTAAGAAAGTAGATCTGTTTGCAGAGGCGCTATCACGTTTCATCAGGCCACCTGAGACGGCTTTTGAAAGCGTGTACTGTGAAATTCATAGCAGTAATTTAGACAAAATCCTCACTGTATATTAATGAAAGACGGCCCCATGGCACCGTTCCTATCCTCCCCATTCAGTGTAAACAAAACCACGAGACTCACTCGGTTTTTGAGCCTGATCCAAGCAAAATCGGCTGGAAAGGAAAACATGGGGTTCTGGCACTGACTATTCAAACGTCTGCACCTGGAGATCTCAGATTTATTCAATGAAATCTGTGTTGGATCTTTTATATATATATATAAAAAAAGAAACCCATGGAGAACGCACGGGAATAAAAAATATATATATAATAAAAAATCGTTATGTTTGGGGTTTAGTTACCAGTGCCCTTCAGACCCCTACGCTTCACTTGAATGGTTTGGGGGTTGTTTTTTTTTTCTAAACCTGCACACCATGGTATTTTTTGCCGTGCCAGCCGGGGGCCGGCCGGAGCCCTGAACAG